AAAAAAAAAAGTCGTATAAATTTAACTCCCCCGTTTTCAAAGCCAGTCAACCAATTCAAGCGTACGCCCTGCCCTATTGTTATTTTAATGAGTATAATATCACCATGAACTGGACAGCTTTTTCCGTTGAAAAACAATACAGCCATTTTTAATGCTCAAACAGCGAATTACGTATACAAAGCCAATGAGAAGTAACGGCAGAGTAGACGCGAAGGTATATTAATAAAACGAGAGGGAAATTTTTCAAAGCAGATGGGCGTAGGCGTCGAAAGCTCCGCGGGCATCCGAGAGTTATAAAACTCCGTGGTTGTTGTTGTTTGCGCCACGATAAAAATTATCCAAGGCATATGATTGCTCAAACGTTGGGAGGAGGCAACGAGGGTGGGAAAAACCACCAACGGTGGGGAAAAAGTCGAGCTGTAAAATATACTATGCAAACACCGAGACTGTTGTAGAGAGATGCGTGTACACTCTCGATTAAACGATGAAAACTCGTCTTGTGCGACGCGCGAAAACACGTTGTGGGTATACAGATGAAAAGCTCCGACACGTCCCCCTCTCGCTGAGCTTCCAGATTTCCCACGCAACGCAGTTCTCGCCGAGAGAGACAATTACTTTTTCCCCCTCCGCAAAAAAAAAAAGGCTGGTCGAGCCAAAAAGCTCTGGGCAGAGTCGTTCTGGAAAAGCATCGAGTCATCCCCCACCCCTCCAGCCACGGTAAAAAAAAAAAAAAAAAAAAGAGAAAAAAAACGCTCCAGCAAGGTCTCTCCGCGCCAAAGTGAAAGAAAAGGGTGGTGGCGCGTCCGAAATTCTTCCTGGCGTGCCGGCAACAACAACAACCGAACCTCGACCCGCGCGATAAGCCACGGCTAACGGTGTCACGCAAGAGAGAGAGGGAGCTGCCAAAAAAAAAGCTAAGCACACCATCCCTCCACCACCGCGTCCCGTTTCTTCCTTTCCTCCTCCTCCCCCCCCCCCTCCTTTGCACAACGGAGCTTACAGCCGCAAGCACCCCATGTGTGTGTGTACACTACGCATGAGACGTGGTGATTAAAAGAGCGCAGGAAGGGGAGGTGGAGTGCGTATATATACAGAGCGCTCTCGGCTATCTGGCTGGTGGCCTTGAACTTGACTTTCCTGGGAGCACGCGAGCTGGAGGGAGGGAGCTTTGCCGATGCGCGCCGGCGAAGGCCGAGTTTGGCGGGGCGCGCGTTCGTGTGTTATATTATCTCGCTCCTCTCTCTCTCTCTCTTGCTTTTGCAAATTTAGATGCTCTCTCTCTCTCTCTATCTGGAGTGTGATGCGTGGTGATGCCCGAGCAACGGCGGAAACGGCCGATGACGAAAGAATGTACATATACGCGTGTGTAGGTGTACTCCGCGCGATGATTGTGTATACATAGAATATCACAAATATATATACATATTTAGTGCCAGAGAGAGAGAGACTGTACGGCCTTGAGATGATGATTATTGTGTGTAATGCGTGTGTGTGTGTGTTAAACGCGAGACAACGGCGACGCGTCACGCGAACGAACTGTGCCATGGCTGTCCGTCTTTGTCGTCTCTATATATGTCCTGTCCGTCGACGTCACGCCTTGCTAATATTATATGTTGGGAATCTACGATAGAAGGGCACACATATATTATATTCTACACTTTCCCAGTACTGTATAAAAATAATACATAATGGGCCTACAAAGTTTCTACGCGATGCCTATATAGGATATACATAATGTATAGGATGATCCGCGTGCGCGTAATGCGTGGATCGTCTACGTTTTGCGTGCATAAATATACATAGGTATACCGTGCACGCGAGGAGGGATCCCGATGTGGCTATTTCGGTATGGTCTCCCTCCCCCACCGCACCACCCCTTTTTTTAGGTCGTTCTGTATATACACGTACACGTTTGTGTATAGGCTTTTAAAGGGGGATTTAAAGTTGAGCGGGAGTTTGGTCCGATACTCGTGCCCAAAGGGATTTGGACGAGCTTTTTTTGAACCTTCGATGTGTACGTTGCATCGGTTGATCTCGCGTTGCGGAAATTGTTGCGAATACGGTGTATTTTCGGTGATCGTGAAAAGAAGCTGTTGGCTGTGGGTTTGGCTCTTTACTATTTTGCATTGAATAAAATCCACCTTCCCACCCGTTTCACCCTCGAATGATTATATACTTTACAAATGATCCTGGTGAGAGGAATGAATTATTTGAGTTTCAGTGATCAATCTTCATTGATTTAACGAGGAAATAAAATTTTCAGCGTTAAACCCACGTGCATCGCGTGTCCATGAGTGCGAAAGAACAAAAAGTTGTGTTTTCTAAATTGGAAGACAAAACAAAAAACATTTTCCTCGATCATTGCTCGAGAGGCTGACAATTTTTGCCGCGTCAAGGTATACATGTGAGCTCGAGCTGTTGTCTTGTCCGATGAATCGATTAGTTGATGAAAATAGTCCCGCAGAATCGTACATGCGAGGAGTGCACTTTGCAAATCGTCAACTCACGAATTTTTTTACTTCTATCAATCTACGACGATTGAAAAATATTCTTCCTTTCGTTTTTCAAATGGCACATATATATATATATATATATATATACCATTAAATTAAAGCCATTTATGGATGTAAAAAGAAAATGTCAAATGGCCAATTGAAAATCAATAAACCTTTGAGCAGCTCTTTTCGAGCTAATTCACGAAAAGTCGAATAAAAATTCAAACTGAGCACGTTTTAAACCCTTTATTGTCCCACAGCATTGACCAAAACATCAACACATCCGAGAGTGTACCCACACCGGATAGAGAGACACACGTGCGAGCGACTTACCTATATACGTTCATTTCGATTCGTGCGAGCCCATAATATTTCTAATGACTACAAAGTACCAATCTATATATACATACGTATATGTGTGCGCGCAATGTGCTTGCAGCGCGACCCACGACCACTCTGTTGGCCGATCGCGCGCGTGTGTTACCGTAATAGCCGTTCTATATAGACTAGACCAATTCCTCGCGTCTACTATTCTACTGGTATACCAAGAGAGGCAGAGAGAAAGAGAGATGGAAAACTCGTACAGCATCAAGCAATCGACGACGACGTCACAGCTATTTAGCGATCCGCTTGTATTAAGCTCGAGAGCTTTGACTAATCAACGCTTCTGTGTGGCCATTATTTCTTAGCTGTGACCATAGTTATTTATATTAGAAGTGGTGCTTTTGTGTATTTTTTTTTTTTTCCTGATTCACGAGTACAAAAGGATAAAAATACATTTCGCAAAGTCCCATTTTGTTGGACCATGTATGCAATATACTTTTTTCTCTCTGGATTGTACATACTTGTACTGAGTGAAGAAATCGATTTCCTCAACTACGATTTGATTAATGGATTCAAGCTTGATGAAAAAAAAAAAAGAAGAAAAAAAAGAAGAAACATTTCACGGCTAGAAAAACTCAAGATAGTCTTAGAATCTCGTGAAGCGCCTTACGTAATGAACTGGTTGCCGGGGGGACTCTTTATTTATT